TTTAGGATTCTGTCTCTCACTGTTAGAATGTACATATGATTAAAATTGTAGATTGTTGCATTCTTTGTAAGTGGGCAAACCTGCAAAATCAGCAAGGGGTCAAATACTCATTTACCCCACTGTATTATTCTAACATGGATAGATTGTATTAAATCTAGGGCTTTGCTCTTTGCATTTTCTCTACTATGCAAACACATTTTCCCTTACTGCCGACCAGGCTGGTATTTTTAACAAAGGTTCCTCATCCAAATCACAGTGGTCTCTACTCCTCCACCATAAATGTAAAACTTCTTTTAAAGAGGAAAAATAATCTGAATTTTTATTTGTTTAGCAGCAACATTAGAGGAGGCTTTAGAGGAGGTTTCCTGTGTAAATGTGTGGCACACTGCTAACTGTGTCATCATGAGTAATAATTATAATTATGAACATCACTCATGCGCAGAAAAGTCTTGCCAAATGCACTCAGGTGGAATCATTTACAAAGCACCATAAATCTGTGTTTTTGTTTTCTTTTTTTCTACAAATTGCTGTTAGCTGCTTATTACTCCAATCTATAAGGCCATTGGAGACGCGGTGATTTAAGTTTTAGTGAAGAGTTCAGATTTGACACAGACTTGTGTTCTACATAATCAACACTTGTTGTAAAAAGCATTCTATATGTTTTTGTTTTCTTTTATTGGGGTGGGGGGCTCAGGTGTGATGACAAATCTTTATTTTATGTGATCTGGAATGAAGCAAGGCCTTGATGGAAGCTACAGGCAACAGTTCTGACCGGTAATGCTATGCAGACTTATCTGAATCTGAAGCTACAAAGATTAACTCTTAAGACAAAAAAACATTTTAAATTTTTATTGGGACTGAATTAGACGAACACAGGGGGTTAACAGGTAACTGTGTGTAAATGAAAGGTTTTTGATCCTGATATTTAATATAAATTGGTAGTAATCTATATCCAGTATCTTTCTATATTGTCATATATTTCTAAAAGAGCAATTCTAACTTTTCTTATTTTTAAGTCATTTAAAACATAACATAATTGTTTTTGTAAGTAGAATTAAATGGTAAAAGATTAAAGGATGATTTGTAAATACATTGCAAATCAGTTTTGGAGGCAAACTGTTCATTTGAGTGTGTATGCTCAAAACAGTTGGGGAGCACACATGGTCCATCTTGCCTGATGGGAAAGACATTTATGATGCTCCCCAGATGATCCCTTAGACCCCGCTGAGATCATTAATGTTTTGCTGGATTTCAAATTCCTTGATGCAGTCTCAGTGTGGTGTAAATGGCCTCTAAAATTTCCCCAATGAGAACTTAACATTAAGTCTGTACAGGACTGAAGAAAAACTTTTATTGCAACCCCTTTAAACTGTGGCAATGGCGAGAAAAGTCCATAATTGTATGCTCATACAATTTAGTTAAATATTACCGTGAAGAAGAACAAAGAACTGAAGTTTATTATAATCAATTTTTCTCCCTCTTCTTTTTTTCCTCCCCGCGACAATTAATGAGCTGACTCGGTAATTTACAGACCATTATTGTAAATCTTTCAGAGTCGTGGAGCTTCAGTCAGGGAATTACACATTTCTGCTCCTGACTCATTGCCATCTTGAAAAGCAACACAAGCCAGCTGTAATCTAAGAAAAAAAAACCTAAAGCGACTGCTGTCTCACAACGGTAACAAGAGCTTTTGAAAAACGGAGCATAATGAGAGGCTTCTTACTGCTCTCATCAAATCCAAATATAAAAAGTTAATAAAGTAAAACTCATTACAGAGTAGGAAATTACATTGTAAAGCAAAATGTGTTCTTCTGTGAGACTCTTCATTGTGGTTCTAGATTTATGCCGCCTTGATAGCACAGTGCTCTGGCACAGCTTCATGAGAAGTCTAATAGCTTTAGGCATTTGAAGTAGTGCAGTAACTCAAGTAGACATCTTCTAACACACCTATGAATTGTAAGCTATTTGCAGGAAACAAATTAAATTCCTTGTGGGACTTACGCTCACATGGAACAAAGGTGTTGAGACGGTGTTCTGCAGGTGGAAACACTGTAAACTCAAGCAACAAGGTTCAGCTACATCACATCAGATATAGTCTGGTGATTTTTGACACCCACATAGACAAATAGCTCCTTAATTATTAATTAACAAAGTTATGTTCTGCTTCTCCCCAGAGTTTTATAGAGACCTTAAAAAGCAGAAGCTATAAACTCAGAGATTTATGCATTTGCTGATTTTAACTTTTATTTTTGTAATTAACACTTAAAAGTGGTGCCTCATAAAAACCTGTTTACGGTTTGTCAAAATTTTACCAGAAACATTGTTTTCATTGATTAATTTACATGAATAGTGTTAATAGAAGGATACAATGTTTTTCAAATTATTTTAAAAATTAAACTCTGATAAGTGTGATATTCAAGTTGAGGGGGGATGACGTCCCCCTTCTGTAAGAAATCTTAAAAATCATCCCTTTTCTTAAATACCATCCCCCATACCATCACCTGTGGCATTTTATTACTGAAGGTGTGAAACTTCTCCTTTTAACAATAATGGCAATAATATTGCGCTTTCAACATTTGGCGGGCTGCGGGCTTATGAGTAGCCTGACCAAAATAAATAAAATCAAAGTGGCCTACCATGACTATGAAGCTGATCCCAGTGGGAAATGTGTCTTCTGCTTTGGTCCCTAACTATGTAGGTGCAGTGATAGCCATGCCAGTCCAGGGACTGACTGCAGTTCAACTGTAAGGTTCCTTGGTCAAGGTCAATGACCAGCGCACCTGACATGCAACAACCATACCATGCATAGTGCTTTAGGTTAATAGACTAAAGCAATATGCAAAACAACTTCAAATTTTGTCCAAATGTAAGAAAAAAAAGAAGGGAGATGGTGGAATTTTCTTTTAACTAGACTAAGTGCGGTGTGCATCTATTAAACAAAGCTCAGTGCATTACATCTCTTTCACACCTTAATCCTAAATTTATTCTGTGTTTAGATGCAGGTGTGTAATAGAGAAATTGCATTTTTGGACAAATTTCAGTGGGCAGATAAGACTAAAATGTAACATTATCGGCTTATTTTTTGTGACATCAACCTGGATAGACCTTGTAAAAGAGAACCATTACCCCTAATTGTTCTTATTACCATAGCAATGTCATGCTATGGGTATGTTTTCTACAGCAGGGATCTGTTTTGCTTCAGCAGGTAGTTATTTTAATAATTGCGGGTTCCATTGTCAACCATCCTCCTACTAATTTGGGAATCCATGCACATTTGAGAGTACAGCAGATTTTAAAACTAGAAACTTGTCAGGTAAGTTTAGTTCATTTAAAGCTTGAAAAAGACTTCACATTTTGGCAGAACGGCAAACCAAAAAAGAGCTTGAAATAGTTTTTAAAAAAGGATGATAAAAGAATAAAAATACTGCCCATAAATGTGCCGGGATATCTAAAAGATATTAAGCTGTATCTCCAAGTAGCTCTGCAGTTCTGTTTGTTCTTCTATGTGATGGTTCATGGCATTAATTCATAAATATATGTAAACATTTGATGCCGAAATATTGCCACACATAGAAATATCCAATAATTCTAAAGGCTTTATCTGGGACACTCTAAATGACCCTTGCTCATCCTGTAATATTGAACTGTTTGGCTAAAAAAATCTTTAGATAAGCATATCTTCCCAGAGTGAAAAGTGGTGGACTTTGTTTGCAAGAAGGTGCGGCATATCTTCTACAAGTCTGTAGTGGAGTCTGCAGTTTCTTTTGTCATCATCTTTTTCAGGTAGCAGTATAAAAGCCATCGACCAAAAAACAAGTTGATAAAGTCTTCTTTTGGAAACTGTTCTGGAGCAGCTAAAAAATAGTTAATTAAAAAGGAGTGCTTTCTAAGAACGAAACAGCGGATAACCTTTCAAGTCCTCTTTGCAAGACTGATAGAGCTGCAGATTTTTTTTCAGCTTTGCTGTACTACAGACCACTATAAGAGATAAATGAGAGTCAAGTTATACTTTTCCCTCAGGTCCTTGTCTAATTCATTGCTCAGTTAGTATGGAAGCAACATTTGCTTCCATATTGTTAAAGAAACCCCTATAATATCACAGCAGTTTAAAATTCCACTTTGGGATAAAGTGTTTTTGAATTGAATTAAATCATGAATTAATTAATGTATTTTTGGATTGAATGACAACAGGATTTCTCCACAGCAGCA